ATAGTAGATGATCTGAGTTGTAGTCTGCACTCATTTAATAAACATTTCTACCCAGTGATTTGCAATATAATCGGGGAATCCAGGTTCAGCCTTTTTCAAATCATGTGTTTATTATTGACATCTTCGAATCATTAAAGGAGGACATATTTTCAAACCATCAAAAGTATCCAACATCCAATCAAAACTATGGGCAGCTCAGGTGGATCGTTCTGGTGGAGTTTCCTTCTCTCAGCTGGATGTCGTTCGTTATGGTTTCTCGACATCTCACTAAAGCATTATTACGACTTAACAGTCACGTAATGTGGTTGATATACGCAATGAAACTAAAGAAAAAATCAGTTGATAAATTAACTGATAATTGTTTCAATATATAAAGTGTTGCTTTACATCAGTGATTTTTATAAACATAAAAAAGTTCGGCAACATTTTCAGACAGCTGATTCCTTAGTAACGCAGAAATTAATGTCAGCCGGTGGTTAGCTTATGTTTAGCCTGCGGAAACTGAAGAGCAGTATGTGAGATTATCTAGAAGAGGAAGGAACAAGAGCCGTTGACTGAACCGACTACTCAGTAAGCAAATAGAATGCACTTACTTTCAATTAAAAAAGCAATCTAGAATAATCAGAAAGAACCTAAGCGTGAGATTAAAACAATGTTGAATTAATTATCGACTATTGTTCATATGAAATTCATGACATATGATAGAATGAAAAGTTCCTCTGATAACAACAATTTATACTTTTATAGGATAATTGAATTCTACCATATGTGTAGTTTTTCAGTTTGCTTAGCATCAATCTGAGTACAAAAAACTTGTGCAATTGTTATGTTGACCTGTTAATCATTGAATAATGTCATGTGTTTCTGTATGGCTTGTTAAGATACTTTGGTGTGCTAACCATAATTTTACTATCATATGTAAATTTCCTTTTACTTTCGAGTAACACATAGGTCAATCTTTTATTTACCTGCGTTAATCAGCTTTGTCAGCCGCAGGACAATTTAAGAACTATCATGTCAATTAGCTAGACTCGTTTATTATTGCTGTGGCAATTACTGCTATTACTCATTCATATTAGTAATTCAACCTACTTTAATTTAACTATACATTTACAAAACGTAAATGACAGACATTTCGATTGTATTAAAATTAATTGGTTTGTTTTTTTTTGACGAGGATTTACTACCTTGATAGATAATCGATTACTCATCATCAATAACACTGTATCCATGATCGATGCAATTCCTTTTATGATTTATATGGAAAAAATAAAAATATTACTTCGACATCTTAATGTAATATGTAGTTATGCGCTGATGATGTCTCATTCAATCTGCAAGTGATTACAATTTTAAGACTGTAAATAATTGAAAATAACAGTGAATGACGATATTCCTAACCTTTTAGAATGAAAATACAATTGAAAATAAACATTTTAACAAATTTGTGTATACATAAGATGGATGTTTAATTTTCATTTCTCTGTTTGTAGTATCATTGTATTTAAATAGAAAACAATGAAAACAGTTCATATGGTAGTTACCGTTTTTTTACTTGTCACAAGTGAACTTATATTTACAATGAAGTAAGTATAAATTAACAGTGTATTCTCGGAAAACAAAGCATAAACAATCATGCATCATCATAGCATTAAACTAAAAAAAAATGATGATGTTGACTTCCCACCAATCACACATTTCCCCAATTCAATAGTATCATCATTGTGTTTTAAAATCAATCAATTGACTAATCTTTCATATTCATATTAATTATTCGATTCAAATAATATGTTCAGTCATAAAAATCTCTATATACACACATATATATATCGGAAGACAACAACACAACATGACAATTATGAACTTCATACAATCATAATCACAATCACACTACCATCGCTATTCATGTTGATCTATATACTTGTTATGTAGTATGATACAAAGCGATTTTACATGCGACTTAAATTATCTTAACTATAATCATGACAAAAGCGGTGAAACTAATAATGATAATGATAATAATAATGATAATGCTAATAACATTGATCAATGTTTCAAGCATAACTAGTTTGCTAGACAATAAATAGATTTCGATTGTTTCTGCGAATAAGAGTTTGTGTTCATCTCGTATTCGAGAAGTTGATTCATTGATGAACTTACATTTTGTCTTATTAACCAAGTCTAAATTTGGTTCTGACAAGGAAAATCATTATTTGACGATCATGTTTTACCAGATGGCCTTCGAATCTAATATCCTGAAAGGTTTGATTGAAATAGGGATTCGATATCACACACATCCGCTTTACATGACAACTCCAAGATAATCTCAAAGTCAGTGATTGAATTTTCGTACATCGAAATATTTCGTGATATTTCAGCATAGAACAATATTTTGAAAGAAAATATTACTCAAGTCATTACTTTAGTTCTTAAAACTTTTTTTCATCATTATTTACTCAACTGTTTATCTTATAAACCAAATGTATGCCTACTGGTTTCGTCCCACTGATGGGCTTATTCGTGCTTATCCACAATCTGACTAGGGATCAAGAGGTCCTAGAAAATCAGGAGCTTCAGGCTTCATGTTGGATGCCCAGCATTTACACCACATAGTTATACTAGAGTTCAAAGAAGTATGTGGTAAGCTAATATGTATTGCTGTATGTTATATCAAGAGCAAATAGTCTCCTTTAATGAATCGAGGCATTTGATGAATGTATATTTAATGTAATTTGTAAAAAATAAGTAAACTGTGAATGGCAATAACGTTTAGTAAAGCCATAGAAGTAAATTATATTTGTTAATTTAGTGTTATGGAGATTATTGAGTTTTATTGGAATTGTGTATCAACCAACGTTAAACCACTATTGGAAACATGGAAGAGCTAACTTCCCATTTCGTCATAGTATGGGACTCTTCAGGCGGTTAACATCCACGACCTTGGATCAGAAACTTCGGTGTTGTGCACATACGTTCAAATTAGTATTAATGTTCGAATCGAATGAATCCATAATGTAGCGTGAACATCATCCATTGTCTTTGGTGGGCTATTTACTCATTGTCGATACGTTTGAATTATACTGGTCACAATCTCCACAACTTCATACTGACAATAACCATGTGCTTATTAGTGACCAGCTTTGAGAAAGAATCCTCTGAATTCTGATGAGAAGTCATGGACTGAATGAAGCTAGACATCAATACTGTTGAATGCTGACTCGATGGTCCAGAGGTTAGGGTTTGAACGTGTGCGAGGTTTCGAATGCTCAGTGCTGGAAAGTGTCATTGATGCGTTCAGTGCTTCTGGGGTTTTACGGTAGTCTGAAACTGATCGATTAGTGATTTCAATGAAACTATCTAGTTTAAAAACACCGTAATACTAATAACAAAGATACATTTACGTCTACGTAAACTTTCATGGAATTATCCACGAAAGGTCAACACCAATTTCTCAATACAAATAGTGCCAAATATAAAGGATTGCTTTGATTTTGGTAAGAGAATCAAAAATGCTGAATAAGAATCAATAAATTTCGTTGCTTTCGACATGCATTTCAAGACTCAAGGAAAACAGCACATAAAATCATCTAATTCTGAAACTGAATCAACCTCCTTATTATTCACAACACCGGTACATTTCCACTAACTATTAAAAACTATCCACTATGAAAATGCTATACGAGCATGAAAATAATATTTATTTGATAATTTAAGCTTCATGCAAGTAGTTTGGTTGAATAAGTTGTGCACACTAAAAACACACTCACTGTAAGATGAAGCGAATTTTACGAACTCTAAACCTTTTATAGGCTCATTATTTTGTGTGAATAAATAAAATGTTCTACGATGCAAATGTGTTTGGAAAATCTATAAAGCCACTTAGTCCACTTCTATCATGCTAGCTATCATGGTCATAACATCTTGTGCATGCTCCCTTCACTCGATTACGTGATATTATTTTTCTCATTTAGTTCATCCAATCATAATTTGAATATATTTAAATGTCGACATATTTATTTTTCTTTACCAATGAATTAAATACCTGTATATGTAACAAATATAATTTGTTTATTCATACAAATCAGTGAGCATGTGAGAGATTTAGACCACTCAAAAAGGAGATGAATTTACTACATCTCAAAATGCTTGTTATTGTTTTACAAAACTTTCAGGTTTCAAAGACTTCTGTAAACTTATTTTATGCACCAGTGGATATTAGTTCAGTCATGAATCCTAATGATGAGTATATTAAATTGTCGAATATACTCCCAACTTTATATGCTGGAACGCCTGTTATGACCTCATTCATCTCCTTGGTTGTTTTAAATGTCAATTTTCTGATTGTCTACAACAGGTACCGGAAGTGAAACAAATAATAGTTATCAGAACTTGAATGTTTTAGGTACAAGACGAACATAGTCAAATAAATGCTGACTAGATTTATAATTGTATATAAAAAAAAACTCACTAAATATACTGAGCATCATATTGCTGCTATTCGAGCTAGGAATCATCAATCAGTGTAGTTATTGAAAATAATGCAGATAAGCAAACAGACTGAATGAATCGTCAACAGAACTACTTCAATGAAGGTAGAGTTTAAAAAGCAACCATTGTATTGGTTGGAATTAAATTGTTCGTTATTTCTGCATGTATTTTTATATTCTTCATGAAATTACCAGATGCTGATTGTATTGTACATTATTATCACAATTCAAAATGATGATACTTCTTCAATATAACAATAAATACCAAATAAATAATCATTTCCAACTAAAATTATTTCAGACAGAAGACAAGTAGGCGCATGTGGTTAAACAGCATTCCACATTTCCTTGTTTATATTTTATTAAATTAAAATAACGTGACTAAATAGTTGATCATTCACCATACACTCAATGAATAAATACAGACAACAGCAACAACAACAACAACAACAACAGTTGGCCCATTGATAACAACCAATAATTTGATACATTATACAATAAATATTCACTTACCCGGACAATTTTTAACACATAAATCATGGAAATTATATTTGAATTCTGGATTCGTAATAGTTCTACTCTCTTCTCGACTAACTATCAATTGTGGAGGACATTGTGATACACATTTACCGTCATTCATCGCATGTTTGCATGCCTAAGATACCCGAAAATATGAGCGAAAAAAAGAAAAAACAAACAAACAAATATTATTAAGACAAATTAGTTGAAAATCAATTTCAGCCAGAACTTCTGCTTTTTTTTTATTCAACAAAAAAACTTGAGTTTTTTTTCTTTTTGTTTCTTGGTGCTTTAACTTTTAATTATTTACAACTGAGCATTTCATACTTTTGTCACGAAAGTAGAGAAAAACTGATAGATCATTCCATATTGGCAATATCAAATTATTAATTATATATGTGAAGAGAGATATAAAATTATAAAAATTTTTAGATTAGTAGAATAGAGTTTTCTAAAATTAAGAGGAGAAAATTTCATGATTAATTTTGTGAAGATGAATTTCAGATCGTTGCATTAAATATTTTCATTACAAGGCGCGTGATCTGCCACAACTATTTATGTCTGAACTATGAGATAATTTACTCATTCAAAAAATGACCCGTTACTGTCAGTTAACAATATAAATTTTTTCAGAGATAAATTATATAAGCCACTTTTTGAATGTTAGTTCATAGTTTTTAAAACGTTTAGCGCTTAACATGTTTCACAGGAGAGTTGGGAAACGATAACTATTCCTATCGTCACGTTTATTAATATCTCTATCCTTTTAGATATGACTGTGATTTGAAATTTCCCAACGGATGGGAATTGGGATATTGTGGTATAAACTGTGAATAGTTGAGTCTACAAATGTGTCAAAATAAGATTTAAATTTAAAATAACTTTCGAATTCAAGAGATGACAAAAATTTAAGTATATCATCGGATCTTCTCATTTATAAGGTATGATTGGCACACACAAGAATAGCAGGCGATAATCTTTTACGATACTATGATAATCTTATTATTGGTCATCCAGCTGTTATATAACAGTTACCCTTTTGATTTAATTATTCATTCATAATAATACTAGTCGCCATTTTACAAAAGTGAGTAATCACAATCTAGTTAACGTCAGAAGTTATATGTTTCTTAATCAACTATACCATTCTCAATAGGTCCAGCTCTTTACGCTGATGACAAAATATCATATTATTTATTAGATTAAAAATATTTTTTAAAATATTGCTTTTCAACATTCTCTGACTTTCAAATAATGACCGAAATATATAGCCTTGGGAAATTTGCGTTTAACTGAAAAACATTAAATGTCTACGGATGTAGTTATTTGACACATCAAATCTTTACCTTAATAACAATCTAGACACCCAGCCCAGTAAATTTGATTCAGTCAGTAACATGGTGTTCAGCTTTGGAAGATGTAAAAACCTTTACACTTCTGGGTAGCCTCATTGATGAACAAAGTGGATCTGATGCAGATGTGAAGGCACGGGTTGGCAAAGCAAAGGCAGCATTTCTACCGTTGAAGAATATCTACAACTCAAAACAACTGTCAGTCAACACCAAAGTCAGAATTTTCAATGCTAACGTCAAGACATTTCTACTGTATGGGACGGAAACTTTGCGAACTACGAAAGCTATCATCCCGAAGATACAAGTGTTTATCAACAGTTGTCTACGCAAAATAATTTGGATCCGTTGTTCAGACACTATCAGCATCAACCTACTATAGGAGAGAACAAACCAGAATCCAGCGGAGAAAGAAATCAGGACGAAGCACTGGAGGTGGACAGACACACATTGCGGAAAGCACCCAACTGCATCACAAAACGAGCCCTCACTTGGAGTCATCAAGGCCTAAGGAAAAGAGGAAGGCCAAGGAACACATTACGCCTTGAAACGGGGACAGAACTAAGAAAAGTAAACAATAGTTGGACAGAACTAGAAAGGAAGGGCCAGGGTATAGTAGGTTGGAGAATGCTAGTCGGAGGCCTATGCCCCATGGAGGTAAAAGACATGGGTAAATTTTCAACTAGAACCTATTTCCTCATAATACAAACGTTTCAGATAATTATAACTGCGTACATCACGTGCTTCACTTAGTCTAAACGGACCATGGTAATGGAACGATAACATCATTTCCAATCAGAGCAAATATATTCAGGACGTTGAAGATCATTACTTCACTATTCACGGATTACTAGTTCGCGAACTATCAGCTTTCAGAACTTAGATTTGTTTTGAAACTATTCATACGCTTGCTTTCTGTTTGCTCTATAGAACTTATTAAGATAAAAATTAAATAAATACACCATTTTGATCTTTTTCCAACAGATCACCATATCGTTTAATATGATGCTCTCACTTGGTAGCGTTGGTAAACTATATTCCACTTCCTAGACTTCTACACAGAAAACATATTTTGGTTAGGCTCTGTTACACACGAACGTAAACAGGTCAAGTGATATGCTTGAATGATTACGAGTTTAGCCTTGTCCGAAAATGAGAGCGATGATCCAGCGACACGACAGGCTACTCTACTCCGATTGTCCCAAACCCCCATTGAGTGAAAGAAGAAGACTTGATATGAAGTAGAACCTGTATACTACATGCATCCAGAAAGTACAAGGTCGGAGTCCAGAAGAGGATAAGAATCCCGGACTAAGGATCCGGATCCACGTCCGGGTCATAAAACGTTACAGATAATGCGTACTTACAAAGTTAGGTTGAATAGGAAACAACATTGAAATCGGTGACATTGACAGTTAAGGCGACCGATAAGAAAAAACATTGACACTAATAGTCAGGACGACCAATAAGAAACAACATTGGAGTATGTGACATTGATACCTAGGACGACCATAATATTGACCAGTAGGAATTGACCAATGGAATTAGACTTACAAAAATAATTCTCTCAGCATACTTGATGAATATCCTAACAGGCTCCATTTTTATAGTTTTTAAAATTGATTTTTAAGTTTTCTAAGGTAAATTTGTTGTTACTGACACCATAAATCTTAATTTTGAGGTGAAGCAAAGTGGTATTTCAGTACTTGGGCATACAATCTCTACGTATAGAAACAATCAGTTTCAGCTTGATGCAGATTCAATTATCAACTATATAAATTTGAACAAAAGAATTAAGTAAGTTGATCTTATTTATATTAAACGGCTCCAGTATCCTATCTGTAATATTCACTTAAATTGGCTATGTTTTGATAGCTAAAATTACATGAAAATATTTACTTGAATCCACATAATTTTCAGTAACACAAATCTTAAACGAATTCGACTAAAGTAAAAACAATTGCATCACAGAGAAAATATATAAAAAGCTTGCAAAACAGTTAAAAAATATTATCAATGAGTGTAATAAGAAAGATTTGAGCAAAATACTAAGTTCATTTTCAATGACATCTCGAAATCCATAGATTATCATAGGGTTTGAATTTAAATGAACTTTACCAGTTAACCAGTTTAATTGGCAAACTCAGTAATTCAATAGAGTTTAACTTGAAAGGTAAACAAACAGAACACAAAATTATTATTTACAATAAAGCGTCTGTGTTTAAAGTTTAACTAAAACCATTTGTAAAACTGAATCTTTAATGTGTTCGATATTTTGATGTTAAATTACGTTAGAGAGCGGTTAAACTCATATATTTATGCATAATGCAATATGAGAAAATATTAAGATAGTATCTCAACCTGCATGAAAACATTTGTTACATTGAGTTACTTGAACATTCTCAAGAGGAACGAAGATAGATCTGAATGATGTACTTAAAAATCATTAAGATTATCTGACTGATCATGACTCTAAAAAACTGTCCACCAACTAGAGATGACAAGCTTGAAACCTTATGGTAGAGCCTTCTCAGAACAACGTTAAGCACAAAACTATTTCAACTGTTCCCAAGGACATGATTTAACTGACCTTATTGGTTGTAATTGAAATTTTCGGAGCATGTTATTCAACCTGTACTTGGGGCTTATATCACTACATTAACATATTTTCATTATGTACTTGTTAATTACGATCTAAGACTAGATTTTACCATAGTATGAGTACTGCCTTATTATAAATACATTAGCACGTATTATTTCGGTTCAGTCTTGATTATCGTAGTAGTAAATCAAAAATCAAATGAACAGAATCAAAACAAAATATTGTTTGAACGAATACATGTGGACATTTCGTTGTTTATTAAAACGAAAGAATCATAACTTACCCTACATCTACTAGGGTCAGTTTCGCATCCACCCAAACATTCTTCTAGACACGGTTGTGTAGTCGACCTACCGCCAAGACAATAATTATCTCGATTGTTAGCACATTTTAGCACTTTGAAATACACAGAAGAGATAAACATAAAATGGAATAAATATGTAAATATAGCGATAAATCATTCTATAAAGGCATCTGAACAATGTAATGTAATTGGAGAAACAAGCAAACAATTATTATCAACACCTATTGAAGCGAATTTTTGGCTGGGTGGAGATGCTGATATGATGGGCTGTAAACCAAAAATAAATGATAGTAGGTAAAGACAAAATCCGAGTTAAAGCAAACGTTTTTCTTAGATCAATATATTATGGTGTGTTTTCTGAATAGAATAATTAAGCAATCATCTAAGTGATAATCCTGAGCAATATTAAAGGCTAAAGAAGTGATAAGGAACCTTATGTGGTTAAAATCTACATAAGATTCAGTTAAATTGTCTTTTCATCATGTACATCATGTTTACAATATTGTCAAAGTACGATGTCACAAACCGGCTTTTACCAGCTGCTTAGGACAGTGATAGTTGAATATCTCAAAACGGCTTGGTCTTATTCAGTGATTTAAATAAAGGTAAAGACAGTTTGTCGAACTTTTGGCAACAGATAATATTATAAACATCGTAATAAGTCATTTCATGAAAAATTATTTGTAAAGGGAAATTTAAGTGAGATTAAAACTCGTTTCTAAAGAAATGGGAAATATTAACACTACAACGATTGTGTTTATTTGTTAATGACGTTTTTGACCAGAAACTTTAGTGGATGCCTGTAAATTGTAAATCATGTAAATACATTTGGGTGAAAAACACGGCAAACATAATAAACGAAATAAACAGTAGTCCATATATAATCACACTTTGTTGAGTACGACAGCTAAGACTCAGCAATGCCTCAATAAGTTAGATTTCCAAATTAATATTTTATCCTTTTTTAACTATTCAGAAGGATTTTTGTTATCCATAGATCTTGACAACCCTTAACTAAAATAGTAAACAGTATGGTGTAGTATGGAGTTATGTTACTCTTCGGATAATCAATTTAACTCGTTATTGATGCTATTTGTATTAAACGTTTTTGTGCAAAAATATCGATGCTAACATTGACCAGGAAGCTTACAAACCTGTTTGTTAATCGTTCCCTGTAAGACTGACTATAATCAGAACGCAGCTATAAATCCCCAACAGAAATTTCTCTCATAAAACATACTATCTTCACGAACCTCCCCCCCGGTATATAGTGAATAAATTAACTAAAAGAAAAACTCTTGACTGACAAAAAAACCTCACGTCTTAAGTTTGACACAACCTATTTGTATGCTTATGCAACTTATATTAGCTTCACGTGAATGAAAATAATACATGGATTGACTAAACAACTAGAATGATAAAATAGGCATGATTACATATTTTTACATGGAATGTTGAACAGCCTAGCAGCTGAAATTAAGGCGAAATTAAGTTACCAAATAATTCTGGAGGTTTAGCCGGTATATCACTGGAACTATTCAGTAGAACCATAGTTACGGGTATTATTTTACTTGGAAAACCAGTCAGACATGTCTGTGCAGTTTTGAAAGTGCTCGAATAGGCTTGCAATTTTAATAATGATGGGAATATTTGTTTGTAAAGATGACTAATAAGTATATTATGTTGAGAAACCAATGGAAACATAAGGTTGGCCATATATATATATATATATATTAAATGGTGACTCTACTACAAAAGATTTTTAGAGCATTATGCATATTCAGACATACCTTTCTATTATACCGTTTGTATATGACTGTAAATCGATGGAGCACGACATGTGGGAGAAAAATGCCAGTAATCAACTAATCAACTATCACTTACTTGTTAGCATTAAACATTTACTTTTCCTACCTATTCGAAGTGTGATGGATATGTTGGACTAATTTACACTTGAGAATGCGTTCAAAGGTAAATCTATCTTGAGTAGTCAACTTGCTTTTCTATCTAAAGAAGACTTTGAAAGTAGTGTAAACACAAACACTGCATTTGCCAATTTATTTGCATATAAATCATTAACTGGTACTCAAATTCCTTACAAATGTAATTTCTGATCCTAAACAGTCTAACAGCACTCATATATTCCGATTATCTATACTGTTCACACTTTTAGGGAAATCGATCAAATCAAATCAGAACTTGTGTGACAATGTAAAGAATTACTCCTGGCAAAACACAAATAAACTCAATTCAGTTTAATATTTATGTACGAAAGCAGTAATTTAGTACCATTAGTATTAAAATCACAAAACATATTATCCAGTTAGACATGATCATCAGTCATCAAAGTAAGACTATGAAACCAAATAAATGCACTGATTAAGGTTTAAAAAACCTAGAGTTCTGTGAAGTTGACTATTAGCTTCGAAATAAAGCACAAAATAGTTATCTATATTTCGTCGGTTAATGCGTAACACTGACAAGTAACGATGTGTAATTTGTAAAGCTGGAGCTATTCATTCTGTTTTCAACACCACTGTGGTTGGTTTCCAATACCATGAAATAATTTAAATATACAGTGTGCTTATTATTACAGTCGTTTGGCTTAATAAACCAGTTGACATTTTCAAAAAACTAAATATTCTCGCACTTTCCTTTCTTTTGGCTCTGCTCCCATTTGCTTTAGGCAAGGTGTAAAAAGGTTGAACGAACAAAATGACTTTTTCAAAAAGCCGCTCTCAGTTCATTTGATCTTCGTACAAGAAATGACTATAGTCATTATCATACTGAGCTTGTTTCAATATGTGCCCGTGGATTTTCATTATTTCATACACTTTTGCCATAGTACAAACTGGTATACAAATTAATATACGGATTTTTATAATCTAACTTAACTTGATGCTTTCGTTAGAAATACTGTAAATAAAATAGCTCATCAAGTGTGTAATTCACCTTGGTGCTCCACTTCAGACACTTAAAGTCTGTTCATAAACGAAAACTGATTTACGTAATGAACAAACTTAAGGCTTATAAAAAAATTTAAAACATACTTTCATACAATGTTCACATCTTTAATTGACAATTATTATAACATAAGATTGTCTGTGATTTTATCTATTTTTTGTTAAATTCTAACTGCAGTAGATTTTACAATTTTCTTTATTTGAGACAAGATTAACCGTAGAATGAAAAACATTGTACAAACAAGCTTGGATAAACTGAAAAAAAAATGATGATGATGATGTTGACTTCCCATCAATCACACATTTCCCCAATTCAATAGTATCATCATTATGTTTTAAAATCAATCAATTGACTAATCTTTCATATTCATATTAATTATTCGATTCAAATAATATGTTCAGTCATAAAAATCTCTATATACACACATATATATCGGAAGACAACAACACAACATGACAATTATGAACTTCATACAATCATAATCACAATCACACTACCATCGCTATTCATGTTGATATATATATACTTGTTATGTAGTATGATACAAAGCGATTTTACATGCGACTTAAATTATCTTAACTATAATCATGACAAAAGCGGTGAAACTAATAATGATAATGATAATAATATTGATAATGCTAATAACATTGATCAATGTTTCAAGCATAACTAGTTTGCTAGACAATAAATAGATTTCGATTGTTTCTGCGAATAAGAGTTTGTGTTCATCTCGTATTCGAGAAGTTGATTCATTGATGAACTTACATGTTGTTTTGTCTCTATTTCAAAGTTATACTTTCCCCGATGGATAAGAGAGCATTGAAAAATACTTGCAGGTCAGTTTTTTATGGTAACTGCACAAATCGATTTAATGATTACACTGACTACCTAAACGCTTTTGTAAAGAAAAAATTCTTTTTGGTTTGAAAATTAGTTCACTTTTTCCCTTATAATTAGCAATCTTCGATTTTGAAGCTTTAATTAAAATGAAGAGCTCACATTTATTATCAGCATATATGATTAATGAGTAGAACATAGATCGGCCTATCATCAGCTGCCTCATTGAATTAACTTCCACAAGACTGTATTTTGAGTCAGTTTTCTTTGGAGCTTTGATAATCTGCCTTTAAACTGCACTTATTTCTAATTATCAACCACGTATTACGTAAAAATTAAGTTAGTCATTTGGAAGTGAATAGCTTTGAAATCCAGACTTTATTGCTTATGCTACTTAATATTAAAATGAAGATCGTTTAATCGTATGATATGTTGTGAGTAGCATTTTTTACAATCTCTTTATAGGAATATTAGGGTAAACGATCAAATCACAGCCACACCGTACAAGATCATTATCGACTAATAAAATGAAATTCACATCATGTTGCTGAAAAGCGAACATTTATTGATCATTAATCATCTGACAGTGCACAAGCATCAATTTGAAGCGGTACTTGTAAACTAGTAGACACGTTTGGGCTCACAAACACACAATTTAAACAATTTTCATAAAAGACCTCAAACCGCCTTTTATCTGTGTGTATGTAAGTACAATGTATTCGTATACGTAAACAAAATGAATTTTAAAAATATTTAAGTGAGACTAAAGTCAACAATAAATTCACTGAAGTTAAACAAATTAACCCACATTTTTTATTTAAAAATTAAAATTTATGTGATAAACATCTTTAAGAGATAACTTGAATCATTTTTTTTGCATAGCTTCTGCTGATAAGCATTCATTTCGCATAGATGACAATGTTTGGCTGTTAAAACTGGTCAGCTTTCCTAATTTCCCTAAAAATTATGTGACTGTTAAAGGTTGGTTAAGTTTGTTTGGTTATGAAGATAGAAATTAAATGATAGTTCAAATACTCAAATGATATATTACCATATCACAGCCACATAACTCTGCCTACAGTTTAATGTAATCTAACGTATACTATAATTGTTATACTTGAAGAACTCAAATAGCCAAGAAATTGTTCTTTTAAAGAAGCATTTTTATTATGACAATGAATGAAGGATTGTTAGAAAGCTATCAAAGTATCTTGTGAACCTAATCTACTATGAATCAGTCAACAAGAAGAGAGAAAACTGATAACTAATGTTTTAAAAATTTAGATACTAAAGAGCACTATTTTAATCATTCAGGTAGGCTGATTCTTTGTTACAAGTACATACTATTACAAGTTTCATAACCGAAACTGAATGAGTGTAAAGGGGACGCACATAACCGTTGACTTGATACTTCGGTTTTTTATTCATATTACTTTTAAATCATTAAGAGGAAAAGATTCTTCAAAAAGTTATCAGATGAAATGAACTTTGAAATCGATATATATAGAAAACATCTCAAGATTTACATTGTTACTTGAAAATCACTTTCATTCGGAAATTTCAAAATCATATTTAAAAGGATACCGCAGAATTTTAACTATGCCACAAATGTCTGCTTATCAGTATGGGTCATCATAATTTCCTTTTTGATTCATCAAACTGAAATTAACGTCAGAATACAAAAGTATATCTTATCCTAACAATACCTGTGTATAAATGACTGTTCCTTGTGAATCTATTTGACTGGGACCTCAGTGAAAAATGCGATTTAATGAAATTATAAGCCCTTCTGTGGTTGATGCCGATCCTAAACCCCATCCAATGAAAAAAAGACTAAGCTAAGAAACACTAATCAGATGAAAATCATAACTTAATGGGTGATAAACAGAATGAAACCTACATAGCATATTTTCGGATGACTAACATTGAAATCAATATTAATAGTTTGCACCAGAAAACCGTAGACCAGTAAAAACTATTTGAATATATTCTGTCAACCAGAAGGCAGACCACAACAATTATGGCCAAGAAACCTATCTTGGTGAGACGCACAGCAAAGAAGAGCGTAACCTCAACTGTTCACTAGGATAGTGTTTACTTGTACTATAGATAGTCATTAATTATGCGAATATTCAGTAAGTTTGGTTGGATATAGCAGAATGTATCTTACTGTCTTTCATGTAATTTCGTCACATATCATATACTCGTGGCATTTCTTATTTGAATCAAAATGCAACTTCACTCGTCATATAACCAATTTAATAAATGAGCTTGATAATATATGGTTATTCATAACACAATATCCTATTATACAAACTAGTGTTTTATATTATAGGAGCAAGCCACCAGTTATTATCATATGATTTGATCTCTGTTTACGTAATTTTCATGTACCAGACTACTACAAGTTGTATGTTAACTAATATTTAGTAGTTGACTTTATAACCGGCTACTCTGTACGCCAGGTTGACAAGTTGACAATATACATGGACGGTATTTTACATTCAATATTGTCCCCATTATGTCAAGTTTGAATGACATGCATACTAAAAATCTGTATTTTAGTACTTAAAAATGAATCAGCAGAATCTGCAATTAATGAGAAAAGTAGATTAGCAACTGACGGTTTGCAAAATTTCAAACTATATTTTAATGAAACTCTGAGTTTATCCATTCATCCTTTAATTCTCAGTAAATATTCGAGATGCAGTATTTTAGTACATTTTTCTGTACATCGAGTGGGTGATTGCTGCATATAAAAATGTATTTTCTATGAGAGGTTTTATTTCAAACATCCACAATAAAGCGCATCACAACGTATCGAATTCAAAATACAAATATAATGCGATTCTGGGTTGAAAAGGAAATCAATAGTGAAAGTTACAGCCTTTTATGCAGCTACCAGATGAACGCAAAGTGCTCGAAAGTTATTCGATAGAAGTTTTATCGTTTGTGCTTATCCTTCATTTCTCAGTAGTTAAGGATGTGAATGAAGAATTGGAAGTACACAAACCCATTATTAAAAACAAACGTGTGTACTTAATAAAAGTATAAACGGTCAAATATTAACATTAACATCTTTATCTAATGAGACACTGAGAGTCAAACATGTTTGTTCATGTTTGTTTGATAAACATAGTAAGGGATTTTGCGGAATAAAATTAAAAACACAACAATAAGAATGATTAATTTGCCGTTCGGTCAGATTACAACGAAAAGCTATTTTCCTCTGCATAGTAATTCACCGAAAAAAAAACTAAAACATACCTATTCATCAATATTATAATGATTAATTAGGAGAGGTCATAAAAATTCTAGATTTCTATATTTGATAAGTTATCTAGTCTAAGTTTTTACTAAGAACTGACACTGGACATCTTAAACTAGGCAGATCTTTACAAGAAAATACGTCGAGTAATTATTTTATTCGGATAGACCATTTGTTTTATGACACTTCATAACAAAAAATACTCATATCTCATTGTGTACAGTTGTAGACAACAAAACTAAATTCATCTTTTCACGTCTATGTTGAGAATTGTCTTGATATTAGATATCACTCTAAGACACAAACGTTCATCGAGAATAAATAAGGTTTATTTGAGTTGGCAACACTCTCAGATCAATGTATTCATACGGATGCAACGAACTCAAATAATGTTATTTTCTGTCTATTTAATTATCCGTAATTTCTCACTGGTTTATAATTGATATTTCTCCTACCCCATATATGCTTCAGTCGATTTGCTTACCTAAACATTATAGGTTGTAAAATGCTTTCCTAATTTATTAGTCCCACCTGGAGGCATCAGGATAGCGATTTGCATCGTAAGGTACACATTAAATTATGACTTCTTATTCAAGGCTAGTTATGGCGAATCAGCTTACAAAAGGCATGACTTTGATTCAGTGTTTATTTTTCACTTTACGAAGGGCAATAAATGAGCCTGATTATAATGTTTCGGTCAGTAAATGACCTTAAGAAGTTTGAATTCGATTATCATTTCAGCTTTAAAATTCATTGTTTATTCTATATAGGATATATGAATATTTTATCAATGAATAATACTGCAAACGAAAGGTTTCGAAGTATTAATGTAATAAGCATCTCAGGAGAGCGATTTTCAAGTCAATTCCAAAAAAGGATTACTTTTCACTAAATAATTACTAAGGACAACATAGTCTGATATCTGGTATATGCCATAACCTCAGTCGAATATAGTCCCGTTTGATGTTGAATTCAAAATCGAAAGTGAGTAACGGTCAAAACGTGAGTATGACGAATGAAAGTTATTTTCGAACGATTTTTTTAAATTTATGACCATCTACAGCGTTCGATGATAAAAAATTCCCACCTTCCCAATTCCATGTCACTAAGTCGACATGTGAGTCAAAAGGACATGTACTGAAATACAATGATGAACTTAGGTAAATTATCCGATCACTGATAAGAGAATTCCACTTTATATTATATTATTCGTAAGATTAAAATGTTCCGAGAGTTTAATTTTAGTGACTTGTTTATGTAAACGTACTGTAGTCATATATTTAAAACACTTTACTTATTTAGGTTACGCAAATCACAACTTTATATATTTAGGTGATACAGTGTTGTGTAATGCCAGCAGTAAAATGGTTTTGATTTTCAGTCAACTATTTAATACAACTGTGACAACTTGAATTTTTACTACCTCTTCATCCAGTAGTCTAATTGTGATATACGTTTTTTTTTAAAGAAATTAAACTGAATCATGATTTACTTATATCCATCCTTATTGACGTGTTAAAGTAAAAATCTTGCTAACAGTTGTTATTTCAACAACTGTAACATAGTTCATTATTGCAAGTAACTCCATAACAGATATTCAAGCATAAAATTAAATGCATATTTTTATTGAAACGCACTAAGATAAACAACACATTGTGACTTGTAGGATGTTTTCGAGACAAAAAGATAGATAAATATTGAACTTTTCCTTATTTATACAGTTTGTGATTGCCTGTTAGAATAAACAGTGGTCACATGAAAACCACATAACAACAAACATTTAGATTCCATAAAACTGTTTGTAATTCGTTGGATGTGAATTTGTGTGATTGCTTACAACCTTACTACATTGTCAGGATTAATCCAATAAAGAGCAGTCTAATGTTTACACAAACAAGAAAAACCATGAGAGAAAAATGGTGCCTATCCTAACATCAAGATTCCTTATCAGTAAATGTATAGATCGTATATCATTCAGGTGGATATCTGACTTAAATTCAGTAAGTGAATGGACTGTTTAAGTGTAGGAATGAATTAGTACGCTTACTTTTTTGACACATCTCTGGTGTTGGACCCCAGCAGTAACCTCGTCCATTTATCACGGGACAAGAACTATGACAAGAATGCTTGGTACGATCTGTGAACAAAAAATCAATAGAAAAGTTAGGCAGTGAAAACAACGTGTTCCAAAGCAAAAAAAATACTTAAGATGGTTGTAACAAATAAAAAATGTACTGTGCTTTTGAAATAAATCAAATAATTCATAAAAATTTAATTTAAACAAATTAATAATAATGATTGTTCAACAGTGAAATCATTTCATGCTTAAATAAAACAATGTGGGACGTGTAACTTAGCATTAACTTGCAAACGATTGGTAAACTGAAATTATGACCATACTGAAAGGACATGCACAATACACAAAAAAAACAAAACAATTCTGCCGATAGCATTCCATTCAATTCAATTAACCATATGCACCGTTTATTTGTTTTGTCTCTTATGAGTACTGGTTTTATTTACTTAGAGTAGAGTATTGATTGATGATACAAACGTAACACTTGAATCAGTCTAATTAGACTGAAATTTTAATGCAATTTCGTGTCAGTTTTCTTTAGATTAATATGAACTTGTTAGAACTACTAATTCGTAATTTGTCATCTAGAAAGGTCAATATTGTTAGATGATAAAAAAAAAACGTCCCGATAAACTATTAAATTCAATGGTCGAAACACAGCCTGTTATGTTTCGATGCTTTCATATGGTTCAGTTTTGTATTGCTGATTTTGGAATTCAAATAAAGTATCCCGAGATGATGAACGTTAAATTATGGCAAATGCTTGAAAAACCAATTATTGGTGATGAATAGGATTAAGTTTTTTGTTATACAGACATTCCCAGTTAATTGAAATAACTAAATATATTTGTTTGAACCATAAGTCAACGATGGATTTCAAAACCAATTATTCAACATTCTAATTCGGTTATAACTTCAGAGAAAACATTTCAAACATACTATCATACTGCATATATCACAAATGTGATCAGCTACTGAGATAAGTAGTGTGGCTAACAAGCAAATATTTTAATGAAGAGATCTATAGAGCTTATTACCAATGCACTTAAAATATCATTAATAACCCTGAATTTCAATCATACATAGCTTGAACATGTTAAAACTATGATTACAGCTGAACTCACATACTTTTCATGCACATTAGTACACAATAAATCCGCCATTGTGTGAAAATGAAAAAGTGCGGCTAACTGAGCTTAAATTCGAACACTTGAAATTAAGATAAACTATACATCTGGAAATCTTGAATCTAAGTTTAAAGTTTATACCACTTCAGATTTTCTAACTAAAGTTATAAAATAAATTTTTCATTTGATATTGGAAAATAATCATTTTCTGATTCACAAAATAATGTAACAAAGTCCATATATTTGTGTAAGAGGTCCATAGTAACTGTTCGAGGGATGTCTATGGCTAGATAAATATTTAAAAAGCTGTCAAACTCTTGACATGGTTAAACCTCACTGATCACGATATCTCTTCAGAATCGCAGCTATTCCTACTGTATGTAAGTCAGTGAGCATGAAACTCTGGTATAGAAGGGTTGTAAATAGTATTCAAGTTAAAAACAGATACTAGTAGGAAAAATCTATTTGATTCTTTTTAATTCTGAATGATTGTCTAGATAAAGTTAGTCTATAACAAGTCTACCAAACGCATGTTCGCCTGGTTGATTTTGAGCCTGAAGACTGATGATAAAAATTCTATTATCCCTATTAAAACAAGTGAAGTGACAGTTGAACTTTTGTTCCATTCACTTTTTGTGTAAAATATTATGCTAACTTCCCTACCATGCTTACAACTGAAATTGCCTTGACTGGTTAATTACAGTTAAAAATAACTTCAAAGGGAAACAAGAGATAACATGATATAAATGAACCGAGAGAATATCGAATCCAACTGGATGTTATTAAGTATGGGTAAATAAAAAATAAGTGTCGAAATTAAGTACTGGTAATTAAACGTTTTACCGCTGACGTTTACGTGTTGAAAGAAAATATGTTGTTGTTTTTTTTTCTTGGGAATTTCGATACTGATATGACATTATATTGATCATGTGTACAAAAAAAAAAGACGGGAGTTATTGAAAAAGTTCACACTGTTTTGTCTTAAATATAGGATAAAACTATTAAATTTCTGTCATTACTCTTATTATTATTATTATTATTATTATTATTATTATTATTATAGTAACTATTATTCACTTGGTAAAAATAGCACACTTGAGTTATACTTATTAAAGCTAACTTATGTTTTCGAATAATTTTCGTTTAGTGCTGAGAAATAAATGCATAGATCTAATGTACCTAATTTCGGTTGAACTTATCACTGAAACTCTACTTTAGAAATCACTGTGAGTTGTTTACAACCATACTGATTTGTGCATACTAGTTTAAACTTTACATATTAGCACCATAAAGAAGTGAACAAAATACAGTCTTCATAATTCATTAGGCTGTTAGACTACGCTTAGATAGTTAAAGGAAATGATGCCGGTTTCAAGGTTCGATTTCCAAGTCAGTAGTTACCAGTTTCAAGACAGAGTTGAATATGAGAAACCCGAAAGTACGTAAAATGTCTATTAAATCGTACTACAAAAAACCACGGAAGTTTTACTATGATGTATATCAGGTTTTTGAAAAGATTGACCTACGCATGTTCATAGCACTAATAAAAAGGATAATTAGTTTTGAGAAGTGACCACTAATTTACAGAAAATAATAGAAGTCAGGTCTATAGAGAAGAATAAATTTCTGTAGTTTGTCAATCGTCAAACGTTTCAACTCAAAAATTCCAAAACTGGACGATAATTTGATGAAAACCACTTTTTAATTGGATGCTTCTTCTTGATATGAATACTAATGAATAGAGTTTTTTTCCATGGCAGATAAGAGATTGGAATAATAGTGAAGATTAGAGATTTTCACTACAGTTGGCTGTCCTTTTGTAGACAGTGAATGTGCTTCCTTGTCAGACAAAATCAACGAAAACCAACCCACAAAAAAAAACAGACGAATAAATCAATAAAAAATAATAAACTGATGGTTTTTAGTCAGTTTAAAATCAAAAGTTTATTGTCCGAAATTCGTAAGAATCCAGTCAACTTCTTCCTAACATGCCACAGAAAGAAAGCTGTGTTGTCGCATGCATACAAATAAGGTACTTCCTCAAATGCACTGAAACTTGTTGTCAAACCTGTATAAATAAATGGACACAAAACAGCTAGTTGTTTAGTTCAAGTTTTGGACATTTTGACAACAGCGACTGAAATATCGTTTACCGCGGAAAGCATAAATCTGATGGTGAAAGAAACTGAAATACGGTGGGTTTTTCCAAAATAAGTCAAATCAATGGAAATTGAGTAAGCAGAAAAGTCGACGATCCCACTTAAGCTGTAAAAAAGCAAATACTTTCAACTAAGACTAACGAGGAGTCATGATAAAACAAATTGTAATAATATGAAACTTTATAAATGGGCATATCAACGAAACACTTGGATTCTTTGTAGTATATTCACCAAATGATTCTAGCCTATTTTATCATCTAGTAACATGTTTAGCAATGAAGGCCGATTAATGAGGGCTTTAAATGATGGGATCATAGAGTTCGAAATCTCACAACATTAAATCTAACTGAAACCATAAAATGTGTTTTTCAACCGTAATCTAATTGCTGCAAAATGTAATCGGGCAGAAATTTCCATAAGAAGCGTAGTCAACTGGAAGTTTTACATCTATTACAGAAATGTTATACAAAGTGAACCGAAGTGTAAGTAAAGTCTGTTTGTCTATCAGTTTCAAAAAGAGTATGCCGTTCGTATGCATATCAGTTTTCGATTAAATGAAAAAAGCATTTTGTCATGTTTTTAGATATCAACAATTTTCTTGTTCACATCTCATAATCCAAAATCGCCAGTAATCATAATCACTATTTATGAATTGTTTCTAATGTAACTTTAAGCATCTTATCTACAACTTTACAACAAAACATTCACTCAGGACGAAACACCTCAAGAACAAATTTACAAAGACATTTCGTAAGAAAATAGTTTCTCCATTATCATTAATTTCTAAATAGCCAATAAAATCAACACATCACATAAATCGATTGAACAGCACAAACATAACTGTATGCTGACTAACAATTGATTTTATAAAATCTGAAACATGTGCATTTTAATACACTATGTTTGTTTTATTGTGTTGTATGCCTAATAGTGCTAAACAATTTAATCGACCTGAACAACATAATTATACACCACATTGTGTGCACAAAACTATATAAATACATACAATAATTGGTAATAAATTCAAATTGAACAATGTTATAAACTTAATTTAGTTTGTTACTGTACTGCTGTACTTAGCAACAAATAAGCATTGTGAGAGATTAAAGCAATAATAATGAAATGTTTTTATGTAATCCCTCTAGTGACTTTGTCATGAAACAAACCGCTTGGTGTTATCAATCTGCTTTGTGTCAGGGAGAAAAAATATAACACGGGCAACTAATAAAAGCATCTTTCAACCGTTGGATCTCACGCTTTGAACAGTAAACAATACTATTAATTGATTTGGCAAAAATCAATATATATTTGGATATTTTTCATTATTCACACAGTACCTAATAGACTAAATCTCCTCACAAGCACTCCAAGTAGTAATGGAGCTAAGACCAGTGTCGTTTGCATAGCGTAGTGCAGAAAACAGATAAAAAAATGTCATTAGGAAACGTTTCAGTCAATATTTAAACTAGACATATTACGAATTGTTTGGAAGAGTGATTATTATTTGGATGGAATATTTTTACGGTGTCTTTAATGGTAACACATCATTCATGTGTTAAATTGTAAGCAAATTCTGATTTTTTTCGTGGTTAATTCAGTTAGTTCTCTTATCCTGAATTAACACAAGGAAAAATATCGATTTTCATTTTTCCATATAAAAATGAAACGACAGAAACTATTTCATATGTTGTGTTTTCGATCCCTAGTGAAATCAATGTATTTCATACTGAAATACAGTGACTTATTATTTAAAATATTATTAAATTTTTCGCTA